ACAGCCAGGAGATCATCTCGAGTGTCATGTTTCTGTAGCCTTGGCTGCTGTGGTAAAACTTGGCATAAGCTCATAAAGCAAAACATGACAGAACAAATCACAACGCTAACAAAGATAACGAACGACCCTAGTACAGGATTGGGACCATCGAGTGCAAAAATAATTCAAGTCCATTGTTTCCTGAGGGACTATGACCCTTTGGACCAAGTTTTAAGCGACGAACGACGGAACCGTCAAAACAATGAATATGGACAAGCAACTCTTTCACCAAAGCGTCCAGATCTTCTTCTTCCTCCTCCTCCTCTGGCTCCGTTGCGTAGGATAGTTCAATCACGCTAGCAATGAAGATGCTCAAGCGCATGCTGGTCTCAAATCTCGCAGGGGAGACAAATTGAAGGCAAGGTTGCGTTTGACAGTTTTTTGGGAGCTGTTGAATGAAGGTGAGGTGAAGCTGCAATTAAGGCGCTAAGTAGGAATTGTAGCCAATGTGTCTCAAAGTTTTGAAGTCTCTGTAGATTCAACGTCAGCGGTTGCTGTGCAGTTACAGTATCCGCAGACCCCTCCTTCAAAAAGAAAGGGCGGTTGCTTCATTAATTCACTTCATTAACTGTCCAGCTCAGACTCAAAATTCAGCGTTATGTGTTTGCTGCGATGAGTCCGGCGTAGATGTAGGACCGTGTCGTCATTAACTCTCGATCCAGAATAGCTTTTAGCTGCGCCGCTGGCTCTTTTGGATCTTAATGGTAAGGGATTTCTTGATGGCTGAGCAGACCTTCCGAGCGCATTGCTCGGAAACGGGCTTCTTTTTGTTTGGCCCCCAAGGCACGTAGGGCTAAACAAGACGTCGAGAATGAAGTAGGTCAAATTTGGCAACGTTGGCAAGACACTGAACGGAAGCAGGCTATCGCCAAACAAGAAGTTTCATGCTTGTTATAGCATGATGCCCAAGAAAAAGTCCTATGATCTTGAGCAAATTGCGCAACCTCACATCAGGTCTTCCCCAGCATCGCTTGTGTTTTGGTCCAGGGAATGCTTGTGCTGGTGGTGTTGAGGATGCTGCTGCTGCGTTCCTGTTATGTCCACATACATACATATATGCATATAGATCGGAATCATAAGTGACGCAGCGCAAACTGTCCTTTGGGCCTTTGGAATTCGATTCCTTCTAGGCCACCGTAGACTAGAGTAGGTCCCTCAGCATCACCAATGCTTTAGCAAAAGGAAACGACTTGTTGTTTACTTACAGTGGTCATCACCCTGAGCATCACCAGTGTTTTTAGTCAAGAAAAACGATTTCAACACATTGCGCGGGATACTCACCTGGATTACTCGACAGAAACAGCCGCCCGAACTTCGCTAGTCTCAATTTGTTTTTTTAGTTTGGTTTCTACAATTCAAATGTCATGTTTGGATTTGCTGGTGACGCTGGCGACGCGAAGGGGCAACATTTTGAGAGCGTTTTGTCCCAGACGCTAATGGTGTTTAGCACGTGTACTAGCGCCTGACATTCCCAGCGCCTGTCCGCTTTTTGAGGGTTGATGTTGCAGTGATCCGCAGACTAGAGTGCATAGAGAACAGTTTATTGTTTGCTTGAAGTGGTCATCACCACCAATATCACCGGCGTTAAGCTAAGAAACAACCCGATAAGCCCCTTGCAAGGGATTCAGCTTAGACGTTTCACAAGCTTCAGGCTCATTTACACATACACATGCCTTTGGCGTGGGGTCGGCAGCCCTTAAAAACATCAATGTCATATATAACCAGTGTGAATCGGACCAGTATGAAGTTCGGGGCTCCAGATTCTAGAGTAGAGTGATTCTTTACAGGTTCTGCAATCTGAAAAGTCTACTGAAAAGAAAGATTCAAGCAACCATCGCCACGGTTGTTAAGTGCCAAAGCCTACATACTATATTTTGATGTCCGGGGACCAGTTTCCAGCCAGGTCCGTCATCTGATCGTCTTTTTGGAACCCCAACGCCTGCATCTGGAGCAGCTCTCGCCCTTAAGTGTACGCTTGTGGAAAACCGGCGCGTCCTCACATTGGAGTCAATGAGTGTGGGTATTTCTTGTTACTGAGAAAGCAAAGCAAACCCAATGACCTGAAGCTGGGTTCAAAAGCATCAGCAGCTAAACGCGCTGGCTGCGCAACGGACATGAGTCTCACGCGCGCCATACACGCGCACTGCGCGCTCCGCGCACGTACACCGCGAGCGTGCGCTGTACACCGTACACGCGCGCGCGCGCGCGCGCCGCACGTACGTGCGCGCCGTACGCGCGCGTGCCATACCGTACGACCACCGTATGCGCGGACCGTACGTGCGAAAAGATCACCGCAGATTTTTAAAAAGAAACGCAACACATTTTGAAAAAAAGCGCATCAGATTTTTTTAAAAAACAGCAGAATTTGGCACACGCTTTTTCCGTACAGTCCGCGCGTACGGTACGTACAGCGCGCGCACCGTGCGCGTGCGGTTCCGGCGCGCGCGCGCGCGCGCGCGTCGCACGTACGTACACGGCGCGCGCGCGCGCCGTGCCGTACGGCCACCGTACGCGCGGACCGTACGGACAAAAAACACAGCAGATTTTGAAAAAAAACACAACAGATTTTGAAAAAACAGCAGATTTTGAATAAAACACAGCAGATTTTAGCGCACACTTTTTGCGTACAGTCCGGGCGTACGGTTCGCGTACGGTACGCGCAGTGCGCGCGCACGGTGCGTACGTGCAGCGCGCGCGCTCTCCGAGTGTACGGTTCGCGCGCGCGCGCCCGCGTACACACCTTACGCGCGCGCGCGCCCCGTACCGTACGGCCACCACACGTGTGGACCGTACGTATAAAAAACTCACAGCAGATTTTGAAAAACCGCAACCGATTTTCAAAAAAAAGGCAGCAGATATTGAAAAAAACGCAGCAGATTTTGCCGCACACTTTTTGCGTACAGTGCGCGCGTGCAGTGCGCGCGTACGGCGCGCGCGCGCGCCCGCGCGTATAGTTCGCACGCACGCGCAATGCGCACACACACACACACGCACACACCCGCACGCTGCGCGCGCACGTGACACACTTCTTCGCTGAGGGGGGGGGGGGGGAGTTTGCAGACGATGTGTGTCCATGGGCACGTATACATTGTTGGTTTTGTACGGCGTTATGGCCAGACCAGCTGATGGCATTCCACTTTGCGTTTCTTTCTTCAACACACCGTGTCGCCAGAAATACAAGCTTGCTGCGTCGGCAGCCTCAAAGCGTGCGGTAGCTGTTGATGCGTGAGCGCCAGTCTGTCACCGACGCTGAGAACTAAACGCAACCTCCAGCACCACTTGGCGGGTGGTTGATTTGGCCCGAATACTTGCACTCTGGTCATTTGTTGTACTACATTGTACCACCCGTCATGAATCAGGTACACGATTTTGCCAAATCAACATGCTGCTCACGCTTCACATATTGATTTGGCAAGTTTCAGACTGGCTCACCCGAGGCAGCGCGCCAATTTCTAGTCGCATCTGCGGAAGGATGGAAACAAAATCAGAACCCATCGTGCGAATGCCAGTCAAGCATCAAATAAACCAATCAAACGTTATGGTTTACATGTTTGGGGCCAGTTTGTGCGTGTTGCGTCCCATCAATGTTTCATCATCTCAACTATTCATCATTGGCGGCGCAGGATTTCGCCCAAGCTAAATATTAGAAATACTATTGACTTGGTGAAGAAACTGCTGGCCCCGCACAAAAAGCAGCGTCTGATGTGGCAGGCAGACGCTGGGCCACGGAGCTTGAGTCACATGCAATGTTTCATCACCTCCGCTGTCTACCTTGCGCTCGGCAATGCGCGTTGCTTGCGTGATGCAACAATGTGGTGTCAACTGCCAACCAGGTAACCACCAGGCAAGCATTTTGAAACAACAAACCACACTGACACTTTGCATCTGCGCAATGATTTGTTTGTCCGGGGGACTGAACACTGCACCCAGTGGTGGTTGGTTTAAGCTAAATATGTTGCCGTGATTACTCATCTTAGGCCTTGGGATTTTTGCCTCAGCTATCTAGTGTCGCTGTCAGTTCAACTTCAGCTAGTGATCCTGGCGTGTCATCTGATGACTCATACCTGCAGAATCATGTGACTTCAACGATGCTGCCGTGTTGCCGCACAAGGGCCAGTCAAAATTTCGAACAACACATCTCGCAAGCTACTACTTGTGTCGTCAATTGGCAGGTGGTTTCCACCCAATTATATACAGCTGTTTGTTGCGCGCTGGCTCACACGGGGCAACATCTAGCGCATGAGCTATTGCAAGCGGAAAGGCGGCAAGCTTCAAAAACCGAACACTCATGGCCCATCTCAGGATCGTCGAATTACCGGTGCACTAATTCACTGATTCGCAGATCCGATTCGCACGCAGTCGGTAGTGTTCCTGGGTTGCCCAAACTCAGCTGAGTCCGAATCCGCGTCCGCAATCTACAACTAGGGGAAAACCTTCGCCGCGCCCTACGCCCCTATGTTAGTCATCGTGATTCATGCGACTCATGATGTTGAGCAACCCAATGGGACTGGCCGACCGGAACCACCATGCGGTGGCCCCTTCCAACGTAATGCTGGGCTACCTGCGACACCCAAGAAAAAACAAGATTGCTGGCGCACCAAACGCTCGAGTTTGTTTGATGTGGGGCATGAGTCATGAGTCATGTCACGAGTGACACTGACACTGGTCATGGACCAATCGGTGCGACGCAGGTCAAGTAGCGTTACATTACATCACATGACTTTGCTTGCGGCGATCTCGCAAAGTTGGTTTGTTTGAAGTTCACTCTTTCAACCGTCAAGAGTCAAAAGTGAAGTTTCCAGTTAAGTTGAAACGAAGGTGGCACCAGTCAACTATTCCGTTCCCAAATGTTCACAGGTGCTTCTCTCAGCCTCTCAGATCTCGCACGCGTACACCCGGTGCACCATAGGAGTCACCGCGGTGCTTATGGCAAGCCACCAGGGCTTGTTGCAGAAGGGCGTGCGGTAAAAGAGTGGCGGTGACTGACATTGAGACTGACATCATCCTCAGGAATCGGCGGGCTTGTGCCCTGAACAATCGTGGCCAACTTCATAGACGCACGCTGCTTAAGCTGCTTAACTGACTGGGGCCTGAACGCACAGTGCGCAAGCTTCCTATTTGACCACATTTGGCTAGCGCAGAGACCTGCGGGCGCGTGTCAAACTCATATCAATCCGATCGTGATCTGATTTCCAAAGACAAACTGGGCCAAAACTGCTATTGGCGCTGAGGGTGAGTCAGGCCCATGACTGATCCATCACGCGCAACGATTCCTGATTCATGGCTTTTTCTTCCGGACTCATGGCTGATATAGAAATAACCTGCTACGGCCACATGTTGCCAAAATGCAAATATGGACATCACGTCAACTCTGATGAGATGATGACACTCATGGGTGGAGCAGCCCCAACTTGTGACTTGCTTGACTCATTGTTTAACGACTTGCGCTTGCAACTGGTAATGCTGGTTGGAACCTGCAACTTGAAACACATGTCACTCCATCTTTGGATGAGTTTTGCTAGGAGCAACCTTGAACTTGCAACACCTTAAGTGTGGAACCTGGGCAATTTTTCTTCGACCACCAGTGGTCGACTTCTTCTGTCTTTGAGCTCGCACGATGCCCTCATCTTGCGTCGGTCTTGTTACTGTTTGCGTATAGCGCCGGCTCCGACCAACTCTTCAAAACCAAGCAAACGCCCTGAACCAGCTAGAGACTTTTGGATTCGTGCGCGCCGCCGCTCACTTCTCGCGCGTCGCTGGCTCGTTGCGCGCTCGCCGCGCGCATTCCGCGCGTGCCGCCGCGCACCGCTCGCGCGCTGCTCGCTCATTGCGCGCTTGTTGCGCGCTCACCGCGCGCACGCCGCGCGCGCGCCGCGCGTACACTGCGCATAGCGCGCGCGCGTGACCGCGCGCCCTCGCCGCTACTGTTTTTTAAGGCCTGTCATAGCATGACTCTCGGGTTTAGATAAATTGAATCACATGTTTTTGATGATCAGCAACCCCAAGCCGCATGTGTCATTGCAAGAGGGCAGGGTTTGGGGTCTTTCGCGCGGGGGTTTGGCGGATGCCGGACCACAGGGACACCTCGTCATATTGTTTAGATGGGGACTAAATGGGGAGCAGGGTTGCGCGGGTGCATTTTGCACAATTTGGGGGCGCTGCTGCCATTGCACATTACTCAGACGCGTGCCTTGCGGCGTGTTAAGGCTTACCCCTTTGACATGTTTGGTTCGCGAGCTTGGGGTGGGGGCCACATGACTGAAACCAGACGGCTGGCTGCGACTGGTGATCCGTTGGCCCAGCCGGGTGGTGGACTCATGGGTTGTGAGCCAGTTTCACCGGGGGTGGTTGGGAGGCTTCCGGTGCTCGGAGAAAAAAAAGGGAAAGACGCCGCGCCAAGCCGCGGATCTGCGGGGCTCTGCGGACGCGCAGGTCGTGGCGGCCCTGCGGCGGAACGTGGAGCGCTGCCTTGCCACGCGGACTCTGGAGGGGCGCCTTGGGGTGGTGCCGAAGGCCTGCCGGGGGTCTCCGCATGCGAGTGAAGCCACTTGGAGGGCTCCGGGAGGAAGCCATAGCACCTCATGGGGCGAGGAAAGACGGAAGGCATACATCACAAAAGAACCACCAGAGAGAGAGAGAGAGATCTCACCACAAACACAAGCACGGACACAGACAGCACCGACCGAGCCTTGGCACCACAGCCAACAAAAGCACAATGCAAAAGTTTCTTTCCTTCACCGACAGGCACCCCTCCTGTTCTCCTTAAGCCCCACACCACCCCCCAGCCCACCCCCACCCCACGCCATTCGAGGCAGAGGTGAAGAGCCACAAGCTCACGCGCCACCAGTGAAGCAAAACGCACGCGCGGGTCGTTTGGCGCCAGTTCAGGACGGATGAATTCACCCTCCCACTGCTGACTGGTTCCGGCATTTTCCCCTGCAAAAGTGATGACCCCACCCCCCCCACCCACTGAAAAAAAAGAAGGACACCCCCGATTCTCCACCGGTTTGTCAATCCATGGTTCCGGGAGGATGCCTTGGAGCTTGTCCCCTGCTTTTTGGCATGCTGTGACGGGTTTCATTGGCATGCTGTGACAGTCATCCCCTTTTGGTTCAGACCATTTGGGTGGCTGGAAGCCCCGCCAACAAAAGGCAACAGCATCAGCTGTCACAGTGGTAAAGACATCCATGTCTCAGGAGGCCCCCCCCCCCCCCGGCATCATCTTCTCGTTTATTTGGCAGCCGCTGGCCAGTGGTTTGGTGTTTTGGCATGCTACTCTGGAGGCTGAGTTATGTGCACTGTCTGCTGCCGGGCTCTAGAGCGCCAACTGTCTGGCGCTCCAACGGAATTCATACCAAGGGTATAGACTGCATGCTCAATCAAGGCAGGGGTTGTGGGATGACGGATGTTTCGAAGGGTATCTCTCTTTTCTTTTCTTTTTTTCTCGGCACCCAGCTCTTTTTCTCTCGCCCTTTCCCTTTTGTTCCTTTCTCTCCTTCTCGTTCCCTTGTCTCCTTTCTTCTCACGTATTCGCACGCCGCTTGCACGGCTTCGGTCGCGCGTGGGGGCCATGAACTTGCACCCTTTGACCAGTTGAGGCATGCACCTGTAGAGTGGGCCATGTTGACCTTCTTGTGGTGAGGACAGGCTTCCGGAATGTCAACCATTCGGCTTGGTCCCATAAATCAAGTCCCGAGGTGCTGTCTTGCTGCCCATGACGTCCTGCCTCCAAGCTGCTTCAATCGCTTTTCTTTCTTTTCGGGAGACTTGCGGCTCAATCAGCCTAGACAGATGGCGGCTTTTAGCCCTCCATGTCCAACAGATGATGGGCAAAATCCGAGCAGACCGGGGGGTGTTTGGTCACCAACTCTTTGGCGCCTTCGTGTCTTTGTCTCTAAAGAGTTTGACTCGAGAGGAAAGGTTTGGTTCTGAGGGCCCTCTTCAACAATCATTGAATGAGTTTCAGATGCGTCAACATCTTCTTCTCGATGTTGTTGCAGCAGCGGAGATTCATGTTCGTGGTGCGACAGGACATGGGGCAGGGCGGCCTTGGCCCCGTTTGCGGTCCAGCCGGGGCCCCAAACTGGCTCAGTGTCTCAGGGCGCGCAGCGATGGTCTTTGGACACATTGCCACGAGTCGTTGGGGGCAAGAGCCAATGTGTGATACGCGCCAAGCTCGTATCGCCCAGCTTTTTCTTCTTCTTTTTTCTTCTTCTTCTTCTTCTTCTTCTTCTTCTCTTTGGCCCTCTCATAAAACCTGTGTGGGTCTTTTGAGAGTTGGTCGAAGAAGAGCCAACCATTGTCCCCTCATCTTGAAACACCCACTTGAAACCTCAAGGGGCAGCCCATCCAATCAGTCAGACCGTGCATCGGCGCATCGCCTCTCGCTGAGTCCTGCTTCGGTGTGAACACGGACACGGCTGCACTCTGGCTGCACTTCTGTGAAGCACCAAAAGTGTGTTTTTGTTGGGTACCCCTTTTAGGGTTGGAAAGTGACCCATATTTTGGCACACTTAGAGCCTGCCCCGCCAATGCCCGACAGATGGCCAGCAAAGTACCTTGGTTCGCCGGGGGTGCTTCTGTCGAGTTTGATGCATGCGATGACCTCGCTGGGGCTGTCGAGGGTTCGGCCACGACCCCTCCCAGGAGGCTGTCGAGAAGTTGGATGAAGAGCGAGGGTCGGGTCGGAACACGAACCGCCTGGCGCGGGTGGTGCAGGAGCCGCCGCAGGCTCTGGAACCCACTCGCTAAACCACGGCCGTGATTTAAGGGCTGGTGGGGGGGCGGAGTAGCCACATCAACGGAGCGGGCTTCTTGTTTTAGGGGGGGGGCCAAATCAACCCATGATTTCGCTTAGCTTCGATCCTTGAAGGCAAAGGAGTTCCATGGGGTTTGAGGGTTGCAGTGCCCGCAACCTACTCCGTCCATATTCGGCCACCTGCTTTGAGGATGCATGCTAGCAACCGACCCAGTCCTGCACCCAAGCCCTTCTTCAAAGATCCCGTTTGGGCACTCAAATGCTCCCCCCCCCCGCCCCATGGGCCCATCTATGGCCAGTTGATACTGATACACTGTTGGAGAGGGTTCGTAGACCCTCCCTTCCAGGACCGATCTGCACAACGCAAACTGCGAAATGCGGAAAGTAATCAATCCTGACACACTGTTGCGTGTTGCTGCGTGGACGGCTTTACGATCCGCGAAGCGAAGCGTCAGTAAGGCCCTTTTGAGCGTTCAGAACCATGGACCATGATGGTACAATGAGACCTGAGCAGGGCATGGGCGCTGTTGAATTGGTCCCTTTCGTTGCTTTTTCTTCGAAAGAGTGGGTGAACAAAATGGCCGTTGTGAACAAAACGGCCGTTGGAATCGGCCGGCCCTTGTTTCGGTTCCATTCTGGCAAGAGAGTTTTGAGTTGGCCTTGTTCCTTCAACTTGTCACTGGGTGGGTCGCTGCCTAAAATGACCAGTTTTCGTGATGGGCAGTTCAAATCGCAGCCTCATCGCCTTGTCGCAGCCTTGTCCCTCAAGCCCTGGCGCAGAGCGCGCGCCCCCTCGCCTCGGTCGGCCCATCCGCTCGAGAGCCATGGCCGGTTTCGTTCCGGGGGTTGCGGTCGTCAAGGAAGAGGCGGAGGAAGAGGCGAGGGTTAAGAGTTTTCGTCCAGCCAACCGTTGAGGGAGGTTAAAATAATTTATTTTGTGATTTGGGAGTGAGGCTTGGAGCAAGAAAATAGCAATCTGAAAATTAAGAGCAAACTGAAAAGCAAGAAAAAAGTGATTCACTTGCAACAGTTGACACAAAAAAGCAAGAAAATAGTGATCAGATGGTCATCAAATAGTGATTTGGGCACCTCAAAATAGCAAGGATCCAAATAGGGATTATATGGGAGATCACTATTTTCCTGATTTTTTTTGCAGGCGACAACCCTCAAAACCCGAAATCTGCAAATCACAACGGGAGATCACTATTTTCTTGCTTTTTTTGGAGTGGGAAATCACTATTTTCTTGTTTTTTTTGGAGGCGACGACCCTCGAAACCCGAAAATCTGCAAATCACAACGGGAGATCACTATTTTCTTGCTTTTTTGGAGTAGGGAAATCCATATTTTCTTGTTTTTTTTGGAGGCGACGACCCTCGAAACCGGAAATCTGCAAATCACAACGGGAGATCACCATTTTCTCGCGCCCCCGGAGGGGGAAACCCATTTTTTTTGGAAGCGACGACCCTCGAAACTCGAAAATCTGCAAATCACAACGGGAGATCACTATTTTCTTGCTTTTTTGGAGTGGGAAATCCATATTTTCTTGTTTTTTTTGGAGGCGACGACCCTCGAAACCGGAAATCTGCAAATCACAACGGGAGATCCCTATTTTCTTGCTTTTTTGGAGTGGGAAATCACTATTTTCTTGTCTTTTTGGAGGCGACGACCCTCGAAACCCGAAAATCTGCAAATCACAACGGGAGATCACTATTTTCTTGCTTTTTTGGAGTGGGAAATCCATATTTTCTTGTTTATTTTGGAGGCGACAACCCTCGAAACCGGAAATCTGCAAATCACAACGGGAGATCATTATTTTCTTGCTTTTTTGGAGTGGGAAATCCATATTTTCTTGCTTTTTGGGCAGGCGATGACCCTCGAAACCCGAAAATCTGCAAATCATAGCGGGAGATCACTATTTTCTTGCTTTTTTGGATGTTGTCGCCTGCAAAAAAAACACAAGAGAATAGGGATTTCCAATTCCAAAAAAGCAAGAAAATAGTGATCTCCCGTTGTGATTTGCAGATTTCCGGGTTTCGAGGGTCATCGCCTGCCCAAAAAGCAAGGAACAAGTGATTCCCCACTTCAAAAAAAGCAAGAAAATAGTCATCTCCCGTTGTGATTTGCAGATTTCCGGTTTCGAGGGTCGTCGCCTCCAAAAAAACAAGAAAATATGGATTTCCCACTCCAAAAAAGCAAGAAAATAGTGATCTCCCGTTGTGATTTGCAGATTTTCGGGTTTCGAGGGTCGTCGCCTCCAAAAAAAACAAGAAAATAGTGATTTCCCACTCCAAAAAAGCAAGAAAATAGTGATCTCCCGTTGTGATTTGCAGATTTCCGGGTTTCGAGGGTCGTCGCCTCCCAAAAAAACAAGAAAATATGGATTTCCAACTCCAAAAAAGCAAGAAAATAGTGATCTCCCGCTGTGATTTGCAGATTTGCTGGTTTCGAGGGTTGATCACAATTTTCTTGCTTTTTGTTTCACAATTGTTTTGCTATTTTCTTGCTATTTCTGGTCTCTTGTTTGCTGCATTCTTGCTTTTTTAGTGCCCACTGTTTGCTCTAAAATCACTTTTTCCTTGCTTTTTTTTCCCACCCGAAACTTGGGATCACTATTTTCTTGCTCTGTTGCTTGCTCTACATCTCACAAAAAAATTAAAACAGCATTTTCCAATGGTTGGCTGGTTTCGCAAGTCTTAAGGCGAGGGCAGAGGAGGAGGCAGAGGCGGCGGCGGCGGCGGCGGCGGCCGCCAAGGCACGAGTTGAGGAAGCGGCCCACTCCAAGGCGAGGGGTGCCAGGTGGAAACAACGGCGGCAAGGGCTGGCTGCGAGGGATTTGCTTTGAACCCTGAGGCTGGCAACTTGCCCACTTGCTTCTTCCTGGCTACCAGCGCCAAGTGCACCAAAGATTACGAGGGCGACTACAAGTGGGTCATCGAGCTAGAGAAGGGTTGGTGTGCCTGGATGCCGGGCAACGAGCCCTTCTATGGTGGCACCGACGCGCCGATGCGCTACATCTTGGGGCGCTATGAGTTTGAGGCGTGGTGGCACAGCGCGGTTGCGCCCTCAGGGTGTGGGACTTGGACAAGGTGGTAGCTTGTGGCAGGTTTCATTTTGCAGGGTTTCATTTTGGGAGTGGCGCAGTGGCTGGCTGCCAGCCCTACTCTTGGGTGTTCGCAGGCAGGCCAGTAAAATCGTGTGGCAACATATTATGCGGACTAGATCCTATTGCGGCCAGAGAATGACCAGCATGTGACTGTCTCATAGTTCCACCAGTAGTTTCTCGATGTTTCCCGTGTCAGGTCCACTTTGAGAGCGACAGCAATGGCACGCAGACCAACCTCGCAACTGGCAAGGTCCGCCGCATCCAGAAGATCACAAAAAACGAGCCCATGCCTACCTGGGAGGCCGCGGTCATACGTCGCAGCTTTCCTTTCCTTACCCGTGGCGCCCTTTTCAGGAACTGAACCACATGCCCAGTGCCAGTGCAGCCCAAAACAGCTGGAAAGTCACAAGAGAGTGCTCTAATCAAAAGGGGTTGAGAGTTTATGGGAAGGTGCGTTGCAAAGCTTGACCCAAGTCATTGCGTTGGTGTGATTTTTCCCAGGCCGCATTGGCCATTCGATAAGCATGCAATTCGCATTTGTGTGTTGCCAGGGATTGATGTGCAGCGACGGCAAAGGTTAGAATAGACGCGGACCGACCAACGATGAAGCATGTGCTTTGGCCCAGCATTCATTCGTCAGCCCGTTTGAGAGGACCTTTGGATGTAGCAAGGCAAAAGCACTCGGCCGAAGCTTTGGGGTGGTTTCCTTTTCCACGAGGGCACCGGCATTCGGCGGCGGCCGGAGCTTGCCAAGGCGGGCGGCGAGGGAGGGAGGCGAGCTGTTTCTCAGGGAAACGGTTTGGGGGTCATTTCCGAAGGTGAGGGGGTGCTTTCGGGTGCCTCCATTGGCGCTTTGTAAGTTCACAGTGCCAGGACTTGAACCCGTCAACTGCCACCAGAAAAGAAAAGGAGGATAGAAACGCGCAAACAGGCACATAAATTGCATACATGATAATTCAGTGGCATTGCCTGCTGGCACTTTTGCAATTCTGCAACATGTACTTCTTTTTTGCTTGGCTTGTTCTTCTGCACGGCGTTTGTGAAACTTCTCTCGACCGCATCATGCCAGACTTTGGCGAGAGCCTCAAAATCGAATAGCTCCACAACAATCATTCCTGCTGTCCGGGGCATTTTTCGGGCTAAAGCGAGCTCGCCAACAATCTTGCGGATTCCTTTCCAGTTTGCCAATTGTAAGAATGGACAATTACAAGCAATTGCCGGAAACCTTAAGAAGCGAAACAGTCCCAAGAGCGTTAATAAAGCATAGACAGTCCAGAAGGGTTTTCACCGAAAGGTCGCATGACGGAGTTCCGAAACCATTCCTTAGGGTTTCCTTCGGGGGGCCCAGCAAGAAGTCGCCCAGATCTTCGGTGGGCGCGCCTGTGGCAGGCGCCGTCTGCGGCCGCCTCGAACTTCCGGCGGGACGGCGCCGCATCGCCGCAGGCGAAGAGGGGCGGCGGGGGGGAGGTGGGGGGGCCTAAAAACGGTACCCTCAAGAAACACAAAACCAGGTGGGAGATGGGTGGGTGTGTAAGAGAATGTTTGAGAAATTATTTGTGTTGTGATGCTATATGCCCCCACGTGTGCAGATGGTGTTGGGCGAGACTTGAGCAAGTGCTGGCAGGGTTGTCGTCTTTTGTCGAGCACCAGTGGAGTAGTGCATATCATTTGCAGGCTTTGTTTTTTACATTGCCCCATGCTCATGGCGGTCTTTGTCGGGAAACACTTGTTTTCTTCCCCAGAATTAGCTCCCCATTTTCCCTTTTTGCTTTTTTGGTGTTCTGTTTGTTTTCCACTAACCAGGCAAAAACATATATATTTTTTGCTGGGGTCCAAATTCCAGCCAAGTTTTGTCGGAAGAGATTTCCCCAGCGTGAGGCTGCCCCGATGAAGCCCAAGATCCCGACGCGGCCCGCAGTATCGCAGAGTGCCTACCAGCCGGTGACTCCAGCGCCCAAGGCAGTCATGGCAACGCCCTCGGCGCACATGGCGCAAAGCACGTGGCCGCAGGCAGGCCCATCAACGGCTACACATGAGCCAGAGCCGAAAAAAGAAGCGACACACCAGCAGCTCTACCAGCTGAGTTAGACGCTCTGCTTGTAAACCGGGGTTTGCTGGATGCATCCTTGGACCCCTGGCAGGTGCCCCGCTACATGCGGCAGCTGAAGTCGAAGGTGTGAGGGGCCTGACATGGAGCGAGGGGCCGGGCCTTTGCCCAGCTCCGGGCGGGCGCTTGGGACTTGCCATCGGTTCTGCGATTGCTCAATGGGGTGCCCGACAGGCACAAGTCCTGGAAAGCCCGACAGGCACCATTTCTGGAAGGCTAAAAGCAGAGATGTTTGAGGAGCTCGTTCTTGCGATTGGGCTTGCGTGGGTTTGCCTTGCACAAGCGCAGGGCACTCCCGCGGTTTGGGCACTTTGAGCGCTTGCAGAACGGGCAAAATTGGGCCCGAGGTTTTGCCGAGCGCCCCTCTTTTCTTATAGCTTCCCAGAGATTGGGGACCCAGCCAGAAAGGGTTCCCAAAATTGGGCACTCCAATGTCGCCTCGATTCGAGCAGCCAAATAGTGACAGCTTGCTTCGTTTTTTCTTGAACCGGCCAGTGCCTCATTCCCGGCCCCAGATTCATCAAACTGGCGGTGCTTGTTTGTTTTTGGAGTGTCCCGATGTGCTCCATGGTCCACGGGGCAACCTGCTTTTGAACCAACCAAGAGTTAGCCAGGCGCGCGCCACGAGCTCCAGGAGAGCTCGGTACCGACCGGCCGGGGACCCAAAGCTGCCAACTGTGGCGGTTTTCGGCCGGCAGATGGGGCTGTGGCTTAGACTTGCTTGCTTGCTTGCCTCGAAACCAGCCCAAAACAAGGCCCCACCCCCACCCCCAAAACAAGAAGAAGCAACAAACATCCCGCCCCATCACAAAATGTTGCTTTCACGCTGTTCTTTTCTTCACAGCTGACAGTCTTGGACAGCCAGGTGGGTGCAAGCCCGGAAGACGCTCAGTGCTCGCTTTGGGATGCCATGTGGGCGAATCGCAGCCTGGCAGAAGAGTAATGCTTGTTTCTTGATGGCTTCAGTTTGCCGCGAGGCTCGTTGAATTTTCGTCGTTGGTTGCACATGGAGGTAGAGATGTAAATGAAGAAGACACATTTTTTGTTTAAGTTTTTTTTCTTCTTTATATATATATATATATCATATAAAAAAGAAACAAACTTGAAAATACAAATCAAACACATTTGTTTACACACACACGCACACATGCACAGACATCCCATACATATGTACATACGTGCATACGTATGGAAGTATGAATGCATGCAAACGTATGCACGTACATACACTGATGCATACATTCAGACATTCATACATTCATCCATTCATTTGTTCATCCATTCATCCATTCATCCATTCATCCATTCATCCATTCATCCATTCATCCATTCATCCATTCATCCATTCATCCATTCATCCATTCATCCATTCATCCATTCATCCATTCATCCATTCATCCATTCATGCATTCATCTTTTCATCCATTCATCCATCCATTCATCCATCCATTCATCCATCCATTCATCCATCAATCCATGCATGCGTCCATCCGTTCGTTCGTTCGTTCGTTCATTCATTCATTCATTCATTCATTCATTCATTCATTCATTCATTCATTCATTCATTCATTCATTCATTCATTCATTCATTCATTCATTCATTCATTCATTCATTCATTCATTCATTCATTCATTCATTCATTCATTCATTCATTCATTCATTCATTCATTCATTCATTCATTCATTCATTCATTCATTCATTCATTCATTCATTCATTCATTCATTCATTCATTCATTCATTCATTAGTTCATTCATTTTCATTTCATTTCATTTTCATTTCATTTCATTTCATTTCATTTCATTTCATTTCATTTCATGTCATTTCATTTCATGTCATGTCATGTCATGTCATTCATTCATTCATTGATTTATTCATCCATCCATCCATCCATCCATTCATCCATCCATCAATCCATGCATGCGTCCATCCGTTCGTTCGTTCGTTCATTCATTCATTGATTCATTCATTCATTCATTCATTCATTCATCCATCCATTCATTCATTCATTCATTCATTCATCCATCCATCCATCCATCCATCCTTTCATTCATTCATTCATTCATTCATTCATTCAATCATTCATTCATTCATTCATTCATTCATTCATTCATTCATTTTCATTTCATTTTGATTTTCATTTCATTTCATTTCATTTCATTTCATGTCATGTCATGTCATGTCATGTCATTCATTCATTCATTCATTGATTCATTCATCCATCCATTCATCCATCCTTTCATCCATCCATCAACCCATGCATGCGTCCATCCGTTCGTTCGTTCGTTCATTCATTAATTCATTCATTGATTCATTCATTCATTCATTCATTCATTCATTCATTCATCCATTCATTGATTCGTTCGTTCGTTCGTTCATTCATTCATTCATTCATGCATTCATTCATTCATTCATGCATTCATTCATTCATTCATGCATTCATTCATTCATTCATTCATTCATTCATTCATTCATTCATTCATTCATTCATTCATTCATTCATTCATTCATTCATTCATTCATTCATTCATTCATTCATTCATTCATTCATTCATTCATTCATTCATTCATTCATTCATTCATTCATTCATTCATTCATTCATTCATTCATTCATTCATTCATTCATTCATTCATTCATTCATGATTTCATTCATTCATTCAATTAATCAACCAATCAATCCTTCCCTTGCTGGCAAATGATGTGGCTGGGAAGGCTGTAGAATGTTAGTTGGTGATGCAGGTGTGGTGCATGTGCGCAGGCTTTTGTAACTTGGTTATTTTTGAGGTACTTGGCGTGTGGGTCCATCAGTTTTAACATGTAATATTACGTTTGTCAGGGTCTATAGGTGAAAAAACAAAAAAACAAAACGCAAACCTTATGTTTTTGGGTGGCAAAACCTAGTCCCCCCCTTGAAGGGGTAGGGATGAAATGGCTAGGAATCTGCAATTCGTTTTGAATTATAGCACATTTTCGCATGCCTTGTGTCAGCCCAGGCCATTTTTGCTTCTACGGCTTTGGCCGCCTGGCCCAAGCTGATCAGGTGCTTCATGTAATAGGGGGTATGGCGCGGCGGCCGTTTATTGACGAACATTGTTGAGTTGAAAAGGAAACCCCTGGTCATGGAGCCACCCCAGCTGCCAGGCCTGACGGCACCCCAGCTACCCAAAATCTTCGGTATGGTTCCACTTCGGGCATGTTGTGGGCCCCAAGCGCCCAGGACAAATTAGACTATCCCGCCCATGTCGCGGGTCGTTGAAGGACCACTGTGTTCCAAAATTTCTTGGACCACTTACCTGACCTGAGGTGCCACCTTGCTTTGCGGCTGTTGTGCGCTGCTCGTGGTGCTCCCGCTGGTGCGACTATCGGCACCAGGGCTGAAGCCGGCGACGTTGTCGGTGTGGTGCGTGCGATGCATGCGTGCGTGCGTGCGTGCGTGCGTGCGTGCGTGCGTGCGTGCGTGCGTGCGTGCGTGCGTGCGTGCGTGCGTGCGTGCGTGCGTGCGTGCGTGCGTGCGTGCGTGCGTGCGTGCGTGCGTGCGTGCGTGTGTGTGTGTGTGTGTGTGTGTGTGTGTGTGTGTGTGTGTGTGTGTGTGTGTGTGTGTGTGTCTGTGCCGTTGCTGGCAGGAAGTAAAGATGGATTGAACCAACCTGCCATAGCAAACGGCGCTATGACCTGCCAATGCCGGGCAATTCAAGCCCGAAGTCAGTGATTGTTGCCAATTCTTCCCAGAAGGGCCCGCGCTTCGGATGTGCAGTGGGTCTCTGAATAGATACTAAGCGGCATTCAATTCATTATCTTGCAGCATGCCAGAAATTCTTGATGAAGAGGCCACACCCATGAGAACGTGTGGACACACCGACGGCATCTCAGATCACTTGTCCGTCCTCATGATAAGGCCAAATACTCGCCAGTCCAGATGTTTTCTTTGCCGCGGAAGATCCTGGCTGGCAAGCCAGGCCCAACAGAACTTGCCTTATGCATTGGCTTTGTTCGATTGGCATGCAGAGCATAATGACACCAAATCTGCTCCGGCATGGACGTGTCCGCTTGTACGTGTGTGCGTGCGGGAGCGCGTGCACGTGTGCGGGTGCACGTACGGGCATACGGGCGGGCGTGCGGGCGTGCGCGCGGGCGTACGTATGGGCATGCGTGCGGCCGCCCGGGTTTTCGTGCGGGTGTACGTACGGGCGTACGGGCGTGCGCAGACGAGCGTCATGCGGCTGGGCGTACAGGGGTACGTGCATCTGTCTGCCCGCAAAACAAGGAAGCCACTTTTTCTTGAAACAAAACCTGATTTTCACTCGCCTGTGTTTCCGTGCACACGCACGCGCGTGCGTCCGCGCGTCCGCGCGCATGTCCGTACGCACGTGCGTACGCCGCCCGTTCGTGCGCGCGCGCGTGTGCGTGCATACGTCCGCGCGCATGTGCTTCCCGCCCGCGCGGTCGCTCGTACAGGTTTTGATCCATTATGTGAACATGCGTATTGAATCTAGCCAACTTATGTATCAGATGTTTAGAAATCAGCACCAGCAAACCCGAAGCCCACAGGAACCCAGATGTGCCACACTCCTGCCCACAGAGGGTCCATTCATGTTTTGGGTCATTCGGTTCAGATTGGTGGAAGTACCAGAAGGGGGGGGGCTTGGGAAGGGTACCTTTCTGTTGGGAAGCTCCCTGCCCACTTTGACCGTTGCAACCAGCAACCAGACGCCCGAGACTTCAGGGCAACGGCGTCGGCGCCAGCGATGCCAAGGGGCGTTTCGACTGCGAGGCGCGCTTCGGATCGGTCCGTTCGGTCACCTCCCTCTCTCTAAACGCATCCCGATCTCGCCGCGAAGCATGCACATAAACCCCAGGCTTCTCGGAGAGGAAGCGAGCCACCGGAGGGCCCGAAGCCTTGTGAAAAACAAGCCAACACATCGCTCGCACTGGCTCACACCAGTCGCCCCATTTATCGTCTCGGCATGATCTTTCCGTTTAAAACCGAGCAAATGGAGGTTCCCGGAAGACACGCCCACGCGCAGGAGGGCCTGCAGGTTTGGGAGATGGACTGGTCGGATCAGAAGATGGACTACTGCTGCAGCTTGGACATGAGGTGTTAGCCCAGCACATGCTGTCTCCATCGAATTCCTGCTATGCTGTCTCCCTTGAATGCTGCATTTACAGCCGAAGGCAGCAACTTATGCCTAGTGCTTTGGTGCTTCAGGGAGGGTTGTTCGCACCCTAGTGGATCAATTTGAAGGTGCTTTGCCTCGCAACTTGCCGGACGCGCATACTTGTCTGGCGCAGGTTTCCAGCGCCCTGAGGTGTGAAGTTTGGCGTGGGCTGCATGCACTTCACCTGCCAGACCTCAGAGTCCCGCTGGACGCACCTGCAGAAGAAGCCCCTTGGACAACTTTTGGGCACTTCGCTTCTCCAATGGCAGCGCCGAAAGGGCGCGGAAAGGCCACCCAGGGCCTCTTTTTGCAACCCTGGCACATCGCATACATAGCATGATATATGTGTTGTTCAGAAGCACCATGGTAAGAGGGATTCGGGTTAGATGAAAAGTTCAGTGCCGCCCAACGATATGCGTTTCTGCCGCAAAGAGTCCTTTCTTTGAGACTGCTCAGCGCCCAATATGGCAACTATTCCTCCCGCCCGGGGCTGTGGGAATCAAATCAACGAACTTCTTGAACACCTGTCAGTGAATGGCGCGGACGTGCAGTGCGTGCTGCGTCACCCCCGACTGGCCTGGAAGGGCTTGCTTGAGGTTTGTGGGAGTAAAAGTTGGCCCGATGTCTTTCCAGTAGGTGGCACACTGGGCGCATTTCTCGGTCACAGCAAGGGGTTCGCCATACCTTTGAGAGCAAAGGAATTGCGTCCTCGGATCTGGTTGGAAACTCCAGCCCTCATTTGCGAAGGCCTCTTGCGAGCGGTGCCTTGCGTGCTTTCTTCTCATTCTCCCACATTGGGTTGGTTTCTTTTCTTGGTGCGATAGGCAGGGAAGGAGAAATGGAATGACCGCTTCCAGCTGGTGGTTTCCTTCTGGGTTCATTCCCACATTCCCTACTTGTCGCGCCAGGAAGTCCTTGACTTAGATGGGCTTAAATGGGCTGAACCGGAGTCTCCCTACTCTAAATGAGCCACAATCAAAACCTGGGTAGATGAAGGTTAGTAAGGGACGCTCCCAACCAGAAATAGCTGCGGAATTCCGCCTTCTTAATCCACGTGGTTCTGGGATTGCGAGCATTTTACCCAGGTTTTGCTTGCGACTCAAACGTGTATTCTGAATGGAGCCCCATGGGTTGCTTCCTTTCGGCTCAAGACGAGCGAGCCTCAAGCGACGAGCTCGAGCCGCCAGGTGGTGCTGCGAGGTGCGGGGCCTGGGCTCGCACTGCGAGGTGGAGCTGGCGTTCGCAGCTCGGGGCGCTCCAAAGCTTTGGCACCACCGGGGAAAGAAGGGGGGGGTTAGGTTTACTTTGCAACTTGTCTTCTTCTTCTTCTTCTTTTTTTTTTTGGCGGAATGTTGCGTTGTTTTTCCCCTTCGCTTGGCTGCAAAATATCGGGCAACCCCCAATTGGTGGGTTGGAGTGGTGGTTCGGGGATTAGAAACCCCGTGTTCTAGAGACAAATTGGGAAGCCACCTTTCCAAACCACCACCTAGAGCTGAACATAGTCATAGCGTGATTCTGGCACTGGGGGCATGTGGGATTCGGCTCAGGCACCACGTTTGACGTCTGACACGAAAAAACGAACTTTTTGGGATTTCGGAGCTACGACCCGGGCACCGTGTTTTTTTCCCGGGCTTCCGAGTCTTTCGTTTTGGGCGGAAGCCCGGGCTTGGGAGCCTGGCATCCGTTCGCGTCCGTGCGATCCAAGGACTGCGGCGGCCTAGAGGATTGGCACCACTGGGCGGCGGAGAAGCGGAACTGGCGCCGAGCTGAGACATGCATGGCTCAGCTTGCCCACGAACCTCGAACGTGAAGGGTTTCGCTTCCTAATCAGAAAGGTTAGGTGGGGGAGAACGAGTCTGATCTCGAGAGCTGGCCTCAAGGAGGAGGCTTTGCTTGAGGTTTGTACCTGGGGGTAAGTGGCAAGATTGTGGGCACAAAAGGGGCCTGACGGTCTCGCTTTCCCATTGGCATCTGGAAACAGGAACGCGTGCATTTTGCACTTTTTTCTTCTTTTTTTTGGGGGGGGGGGTGCGGCAGGAAGTTCCATTCCTTTTGTCCGCTGACGCATGCTTTGCCGTTGGTTGCCGTTGCTTTAAACTTGCCATTTCAACACCCAGACGTTTTTTTTCTTCATCTTTTGTTTTTTCTTTTTAAACATTTTCTGCTTACATTTGCCATCTCGACATTGCTTGGTCACAAGCATACCCTACCTCTTCTTCGTATTTAGAGCAGGCTGGAGAAAAGGATGTGTTGGCAGGCACGCGATGCCAGCTTTCGGTCCGCTTCAGTTCTCCTCGGTCCTCTTCGGTCCTCTTCCTCTTCGGCCTCTTCCTTACTTTTTCGGTGCTCGTCCCCCTTTCCGGGCCCAACTGTCGTTCACAATGGCTATTTCCGAGAAAGGAATCTCAACAGCGGATATCCGTGTTATTTTGCCTTTGCTTGTGTTGGCTTAGTATTGGTTTAGCAACGATTTAGTATTCGTTTGGTATTGGTTCTGATGGGCCCCCCCGATGTGCATTGCAATTGGCGGGCAGTTTCTTTCCTGGATGTTTGCAAACGAGTTGTATCTTTAGCGCGACCTGCACTGCACAACTAATATTCTTACGGGGCGGGGATAATTTTGGTTAAGCATCGGCAGCTGGGACAAGCGTGACTTGAGTTTACAAATGACTTTGCGGCCTTTCAAGAGGTTATGTTCCATGAGCAAAGGCTTTCCTGGCTTCGTGCTTCCTTCCTTGCAGTTTGCTGCGGCCCAAGTCAACTACTCTTCGCGGCGCACCGAGGTGCTGCGATCACTTTAGCCTGGCGTGTGCAGACGGGGCGGGTCAGGCTGCAGGGTCCGCATATGCGCCAGGGTCTGTGCTACCCCCTGCGTATGCGAGTGGAGCGCCCGCGGTGCCGCGGCAGCATGCTGGCGCAGATCAATGAATCTTACTTGCTTTTGACAACGCACCCTCCACATCAGGGAATCCGGACGTTGTCTTGGCAACGAAAAAAGGTCGCATGGACGCCCGATCAAGTGTGTGTGTGTGTGTGTGTGTGTGTGTGTGTGAGTGAAGCGACTGGAAATTGCCTCATCCAAGGAAAGCAGGCATTGGCATGACGGTCGGCAAGAGGTGGAAGGACACCAACAGGGCCTTGAGGAGGGCCGCGCGGAGGGCCAGCAGGAGGGCCAGCTGGAGGGCCAGCTGGAGGGCCAGCAGGAGGGTCATCAGGAAAGCCAGCAAGAGGAGCAGAAGAAGCGTGAGGTTGGATTGCGAGGTGTTTTGTTAGTTTCTTCAGGTTTAGTTACTGAACTTTGCGTTGTATGAATGGATTCCACTGGCTCCAAGCTAGTTCCCACAATCACTCAGCAGCTGTTCAAAAGCGTGCCGCACAGCTAGGCTGCGACGGGCGAGGATGCCCAAGCCTTGCCTTGAGAGGGAAGCCCTCGTGCCAAAAAACAGTTTGGTGTACCTCAACTAACGAACAAGCTAAAGGAACCCATTCCCGACTTGCATCAGCATTTTTTGCATCGCCGACACCTTGCTTGATTCGATCTTTGCTCGGGGGAATCCTTCCCTGTCTAGGCGGCCAAGGCGGCTGAGGCGGCCAAGGCGGCTGAGGCAGCCCAGGCGGCCGAGGCAGCCAAGGCGGCCGAGGCGGCCAAGGCGGCCGAGGCGGCCAAGGCGGCCGAGGCGGCCAAGGCGGCCGAGGCGGCCAAGGCGACCGAGGCAGCCAAAGTGGCTGAGATGGCCAAGGGTGCTGAGGCAGCCAAGGCGGCTGAGGCCAAGGCAGCTGAAGCCGCCAAGGCAGCTGAAGCTGCCAAGGCTGAGAACAAGGCCGCTGAGACAGCCAAGACGTCTGAGCCAACGAAGGTGGCCGAAGGCGCCTCTCGCACAACTGCCAGCCCGCTGGCCTACAAGTGTACGACGCCCGGTGGCATCGGAAGCAAAGCCGGGGGATGCTTTTCCAGCCTGGACTGGGGTGAATCCATGGGCTGGCTTAAAGTGTGGGAAGAAATGGGTCGATCATTCGTAGGCCTTTCAGCTGCTACTTTTAGTTTTGGAGGCATTGTCAGGCGAAAAAGCGGGCGGCTCCTACGGGGGACTCAAGCAAGTAAAGATGATGGGTCAACTTTGCTTGCAAGAAGGAGCCGATTTCAGCAACGCAAGTCTGGGGACCCCGAATAATAAACACTAACCTTAATAATGACCGCGGACCCGTCCCCACCCCAAATAATAAACACTCCTGTTCTGTGGGGTCGACCGGATTTGGTCTTCGGTCCTCGTCCACATGAGCTCCCCCCTGTCCGGACACGAAGAACCTCAAAACACAATTTCCGCGCAACGCATTTTATTTAAACCGTTCAAGGTCGTTTTTCCGTTTTGCAATTCAAAAGTAAAGGGCGCAGGTTAAACGTAGAGTTGCAATTCATGAAATAAATGTAACTCAGGAAAAAGTAAGTATGCATTTTAGACTTTGGTATTGGGTTGGTGCAAGGAGCCCCCGAATAAGGCCGAGGCTGGCCTGGCCGGAGACATCGGACAGTTTAGTAGTTTGAAGTGCGCTATTCTAAAAGTAGTGTTGGGGACCCGGCTGTTTCAGCCAGTCTGGAAAGTAGGATTTATTCATAGGGTCCTTTTTTTGAAGGGGGGAAGGGATTAGCGATCAATTGCACGGGCGCAAGAAAGTTGAAAGTAGGGGTTAGGAGTGCAGATGTCGAACATGCAACGTGAATTATATTTTGCTCCGCCAAGGAAGGAGTGCGACTTGGACGGTGTCCTCGCCAGCTGCCGCGATTGGGTGATAGACTTCAGCAGGCGGGTAAGGGGCAACCAGCGGGAAAATTACATCAGTGGCATAAGGGGTTGTTTTCGAAATTGTGCGAGAATCTTTTGGTGTTCCTTTTGAGCGACCCCTTTTTTTTGGGGGATTGCTTGAACCTAAGACACACCATGGCAACCGTTTGACCCCGATTGCCATCCCAATGCTCTTGCAAGCCATGAGCTAAAAAAGCCTGCTGGCCGTCTTGCGTCAATGTCGTGATGTATTTTTTTCTTTGCCTTCTCACGCTATCAGGGCCGAAAGGGTCACGCATGGTTGTTATGCTCCGCTAGGTTTCCTTGAGATGATGTGTGGTCAGTTGTCTCAGCCCGCATTTCAGGAGAAGATCGTATCAGGGCGGATGATGGGTCACCACCCTGAAATATCTATTTGTGTCTTGTGCTGGGGTTGCTGTGTGTGCCGTCCCCCTTACAAGCGCGTGACAGCATCAAAGCACCTTTGGACAGTGTTCTTTGAAAGAAGGACTCGGCAGTCATGCGGAATGGTAGGCTCACCTGTCATTGGGCCCTTTTCGCTGGATTTGGATCCCATCAAATTTGCGTCAGCTTACAGCACTGAACAGAGCACCTCGGCCAGGATCGTCTTCCACGCACAGGCGAACTCGTGCAACCAGGCGTGGTACTCGGAACAGGATCCCGTGCCGGATGGTTTTTGAAAGGGGCCCCAAAGCAAATCGACGACTTGGAGGGTCCCTTTGGCTGTAGCTGGCCTGTTTGCTGCGGATGCCTCCAAATTCCCCCCCCAACTGCCCACACCCGATGGGCAGATGCGGTGGCCCTTGCGAGGCCTACAGCCTGATGCGGGTGCGGTGCGGTGATTTGCCCCTTCGGCTGGAAGAAGCTGCTTGAAGGGGGGGCAGTAGGCATTCACAGCATGAGATTCCCTGGCACCAGGTCCATGAATCTATAGTTGAGCAATTCCTGGACATTGTTTTGAAGAACTTGATCACGGGCATGGCCTCTCAACCCATGCCGCATTCGTCCCCCACTCCTTTGCAAGTTCATGGGGAACACATGTCCACGGGGCCACACACCAGACGCAAGATTCCGTGCTTGGTGAAGCAGATGGAGCAACCTTAACCTTGCTCCAGGTGTGCTGGCTGCCCGGTGGAAGACGTCCCCTGCGTAGATGAGGCGGGCTTGAGGGGGGCTCTTTGGTGTGCCCAGGCGCGCTGATCCCAATTTGCGCCCCTATCATGTCAATGCCGGGCAAAATCATGTTGAATCACTCGTTCTTTACAACCTTCCAAATGGATCCCCGATGGTCACGAGTTTCCTAGCATCAAACGGAAGTTGCCCTTTCAACACGGGCTGTTGAGATGTGATTTGCCGCCGCCAGACAACCACGACGTCGACCACTTTGACGCCAAACGGCGAGGCAGCCAAGGCGGCCGAGGCGGCCGAGGCGGCCAAGGCGGCCGAGGCGGCCAAGGCGGCCGAGGCGGCCAAGGCAAAGGCCGTGGCAACCACCCGGACGGCCACCACCATCACAGTCACGACCACTGCTGCCTGAATGGAATTCGCTTTCAAAAAGGGGGGAATTGTTTCTTGAAGGGATCTGCGCAAGATGAGCGCCTCAGTGCTTGAGGGCCCTCCGTGTTAGAATCCAGGGACCATGGACATGCCAGCCAATTAATTTCTGAGTGGCCCCTGATTTGAGATTTGGATCTGCCTGATGTGCTTGGCGATGGGCGTCTCAAGATTGGGGGTCCCCCAAGCAGTAGGATTTGCTGCTGGTTCTGAGGGCGAAAGGGACTTCTTTCTTTTTCTCCCCTCCAGGGCATCGACTGACAAGTTGTCTGCAAGACCGCTGCCTGGTTGTCAACGGGGGTCCTTATTGGATCGAACGTTTATTGGATTCATTGAACCGGAGGCAAGTGAGTTTCCACTGGGTTTTGCTTTAAGACGGGAGAAGCAGATCAAGTGGCACTTTTTCTTGGTTTGGTGGGACTGCGGCCGAATTGTTCAAGTTTCCGAGCTGCTCCGGCCTAACCCCGGACATTGGTCCAAAGCGCTCCGATTTATGACCAACATGCAGGAGTTGGCAGGCCGAGGCAATGTGCCCGGAATCCTAAAAATCGAATGGCAAGTCACAGGGCGTTATCATTCACACCATCTACTCCGACCACGTTTGAATGTCCTGCGGAAAAAACGAAGAACACAACCGCAGGAGAAGGGATATGCCTTTGAAGAACCAGGTGCGAGGGCTTCATGGAGTCCATGGAGTCCGGGGCATCGTGAGTGTTTCGCATGGCGTGGGAGTTTCCCAAGGTGGACCCCAGGATTACCGCGAAGGGCTCTCCCCAAAGTGCAGCCCTGCAAGCGCCCAGCTCCGTCCCAGGCCACCACGCGCACGCAAGCGCCGCTGCACGACTGCCACGCGGGCGCGGAGAGCTGGGCGAGCACGTGGTCCGTGGAGAAGAAGCTTGGAGTGGAAGGGGCCCGGCCGGAATCTGGAAGGAGAGAACACGCAGCCTGAACATGGGCACCGACAAAATCTGTTTTTTTTTTTTGGGTTGGGGGGGGGGAGGTGGCAAGCTTTCTTTAGTCCACGTTGATTTGGGGCAGGGGAGGTTTTTGGGAATGTGCCAAACACGTTTTTGGGGAAAGGGGACTGGGCTTCAGTATTTGATCCTGCGAAGTGATAGGAGTATGGTGAGCCATGCTTAATCAAAAGCCCGAGTAGGTGAAGTTTGATAAGAGTTTGCGTGTGGTCTCTCAGCGGGCGAGCTACTCCCATTTTAGGCCTGCACTGCGCCATCGCATCGGTTGTTGCATTGCTGGCTGCTGAGGAAAGTCTGGTGCTGCCGAAATGAGGCGACCATGTGCCCCTTCTAGTTGGGCGACCAGGGAGGGTTGCACTTCATAAGGCTCAGGCAAGCCCTACTTCCACCCAAGTTCAGAAGCAACCCGTTACCCCCCTTGGTCCAGGATTTGTTTCACTGGCTTTCACGGCTCGGAGTGAAGGGTCTTGGGCCTAATTCATGCCACATCGCGTCCTTGGTGGCTGGGAGGATGGTTCCCAGAGACCCACCTGGCGCGAAGCCGCGACGCGTGTCTCACCCCCGGGAGAGTGCCGCAAAGGATTCGGCTACTCCGCAGCTTTTGTGCTGGTGAGGTGGTCGGGCTGAGTGTGCCCAGTGCCCTGGCTGTGCCGCATGTCGGTTTTTCCCTTGGGCCCCGCTAGTCAGGCTCCCAGCGGAGATCATAGGCATTGAGCCTTTGTGTTCGCGACCACCTGGTGAGCCAGCGAAGTCACCGCCTGGTGAGCCAGCGAAATCACATCCCGGTGGAAACCGTCTGAACCATGGCAGGGATTTATCAGGGCCAGCCTGGCGTCAAGCCACTTGATGTGAGTATCCAGGCAAACCAAACCGGCAAGGGTAATCTCAAGATACCCTTTGTTGCTCTTATGCAAGCACGTGCTACTGTGGATGGACAAAATCCTGATCCACCTAAGCGGTGGCAGGATGATTCCCCCCAACTACCAACAAACAATGGTTTCCCATGGGTTCAGATGGGTGCAGGATTTAGTCCATCCACACAATCATCTCCATGCGTGCCAGCTGGACCCTAGCCGATGCCCGCCCGGGTCTCAAATGTTTCGTGCGAAAAAGACGCCACCCCAATGCTTGACTTGGGGTGGGGCGGGTCGGGCATCGGCCACACATGGTTGGTTTGCCCCGGTTGCCCTGTCTAATGGGCAAGGTCGCACACCGCCCCAAAGCAGAAGTTGACACTCCAAAGAAATTTGTGGCTTTCTTTTGGCCACGCCAGCGTGGTATAAAGCTAAGATGCTGAAGGCCAAATTTGTTCCGGCGGTTGTTCGGAAGTTCGCGGATTCCATCGGTTAGGTTCTGCCATGTCAGGGTGCAGCCTTGCTGAATAGCGTTGCAACTTTTATCGACACTTCTGCGCTACATCTTTTGTGAAGCGTGCTGCAGCACAAGGTTTGAAAGCAGCCAAGCCGAATTTTGAAGATGCTTTGCGTTCATGCTGAGGATGCTGCTTGCAAGTAAATGTTTCTTTCATGTGAAAACTAGGGACGGTTGGCTGGTCCGTTCGAGAGTGAGCCAACGCAAGTTGCCTATTCAGCTAGCTTTGGTGCAGATGTCCCTCAGGTATTTCCAGCGCCTTTCCTTTTGCCATCGCCGAAGTTGGGGATACATTGCCTGTGGTGGGGTGTGTGTCGTCGTGCGCTGTAATGTAAAGGTAGTGCCATGTGCGGCAGGGAGTAAGTCAATGCACTATAACTAAACGCAGGGCAATGCAATGCGTGTGCACGCGTCACCTCATCTTACTTATGGAAGTTTCAACCTCACTCACACTGGATCCCGCCTACCCCCATAGAAAGCTTATTGACAAGCACGAGGTTCGCTGCAACTTTTGCTGCGCAAGCACGGCCTTGGCAGGTAGTCGGGATATTCTTTGCTACGCACAGGCTAGTGCAAGACATGACTGGCGAGTGCGAGCAGCTGGCGAGAATTGAGTTGCTAAGCGGACCGGGGGGGCGGGGGGTGTTCAAGCGAAGGGGGTAAACACTTGCATGATTTCCCCGTGCCGTCCGAGTTCCTCATACTTTGCTCTAGGTGAGGGGCACCAAGAGCTAGCATTTTGCCACTGTGCCCGGCTTGGAAAAACTTAACCTTACCTGCACCCAGTCTGCAGCTTCAGCCGGGCATCCCACAGCCAGATCGAAACACAAAATGTCAGGACCTTCAGGTACCAACAGCATCGACTCATCTAGACTCTTAGGCAATTTTGCATATCTTGCGGGTATAGAGCTCGCCTGTCAGGCTGGTACGGGCGGATGGGCGGAGGGGCGTCGCGTGCAGCCTGTCAAGTTTGAGCATGGCATCATGTGCCGTTTTGTGATTCAATGGCCTTGGAACCAGCAACCACGCAGCAACCGCGCGTTCCACCGGTACATCGCAAGAACATCGCCGGATTTGGTCTGCATTTTGCCAATGTGTGCAGCTCCCTCTCCGAAGGCCGGCGGCCATCGCGTCACAATGGCAAGGTGGGGGGCTCGCAGTTTGGCGTCGCATTCCTCTGAGCGCGGTGGAGGAAGGAAGCAGGTGTGCAGGTCTTTTGGGCGAGCTTCCACCGAATTGACCTTAGTGGTCGAACTGACAGCTCGCGTGGCATGGATTTGATGAATTTCCCATTTGGTGCCAGCCGGGCAGGAACCGAATGTCTAGCAGCCTTGTTGGGGGGTTCATGCGCGGAAGGTCGGGTTCTGATTGTATTTGGAACGGACAAGGTCGCGGTTTCGTCCATGGCAGGACTGTGATGCTGGTGGGGCTGCTCATGATGTCTGGCTTCGTGGCGGGGGCCCATGATGTCTAGGTGAAGGGCGGGCAGCCAAGATGGAGCACATCTTTGATGATCAGGGGGCTTAAGTTTGTTCCGCCAGAATGGGCACCGGGGGGTGGTATGATGGTTGCATGCTGCGGTATGCCCGGCGCCATGGTCAAACGACGTTGTAAATATTGGCTTGCAGGTGAGGGAGCAGTGACCACTGCTGACAGGGACGCTTTGCCAGGCAATGATCATGTTGAACCTGTCGCATGCGCACAGCGAGCTGGACTCGCTGCAGAATGTGATGGAGGCGTTGCCGGTGAGTTCTGGCAGGGGGGCTTCAGGAGCCATCGGTTTGTGGGTTTTGTCGCAGATAAGTTGCCGATTTACCGGGAAGCGCCCACCTTGACCGTCTCGCATGGAACGCATGGCTTGGCACTGTGCCACTTCGGTTCTGAAATGTATTTGGAGCCGTCCCGGAAGCTGACGTTTTATGCCGCATTTGAGGGGTGGATCCTCCACATCAGCAGTTGAACCACCGGGCCTGGACATTTGCTTAGTTTTGCGATTTTTTGGGATCTTTCGGCAAAGCTTCGAGCCCTGGCAGGTCCACGAGAGAGATCTGAAGTCTGTGAGTCAGGCGCCGGAGAGTCAGGCTTCCTTCTTCACAAAATAACTTACCGTGGCTGGTGTTTGGTGTGACTTTTCGAATCGCCCTGACCTTTTGCAAACAAATGCATTTTCCATTAAACCTGCAACGGGTCAGCGTTTTGCTCAAGGGAGAAGAGCAACCTCTTGCAAATGATGTCCACCAATGGTCCCCCGCCCACTCCCCTTCCCTCCCCTTCCCTCCCCTCCCCTCCCCTCCCCTCCCCTCCCCTTCCCTTCCCTTGCCTTGCCTTGTGTTTCTTTCTTTGTTGTTTTATTTCTTTCCTTTCTTTTTGTCTCTTTCTCTTTCTTCTTCCTCTGCCTGTTCCTCTTCCTCTTTCTCTTTCTCTTTTTCTTTCTCTTTCTCTTTCTCTTTTTCTTTCTCTTTTTCCTTCTCCTTCTCCTTCTTTTTTCTCTTTCTCTTTCTTTCTTCCTTTCTCTTTCTCTTTCTCTTTCCTTTTCTCTTTCTCTTTCTCTTTTTTTTGCTCTTTCTCTTTACTTTCTCTTTCCTGCCTTCCTTCCTTTCTTTAGATCTTTCTTTCCCTTCTTTGATTCTTTCTGTCTTTCTTTCTTTCCTTCTTTCCTTCTTTCTTTCTTTCTTTCTTTCTTTCTTTCATTCTTTCATCTTGCTTTCTTTCTTTCTTTCTTTCTTTTTTTTCTTTCTTCCTTATTTCTCTTTTTTTGTTTCCTCTCTCTTTCTCCCTCGATCTTGCTGCTCTTCACTGTCCAGGCGAGCAACCAAGTGGCCGCCGAGCTGCGCGGCAAGCTGGGGATTTTGCCGCACCTGGCCGGTTTCGTTTGGAAGGGGGGGGCAGAGCGCAAGACAAAGCTGTGAAACACCTGAGCCGCAATCGAAACCCACGCGATTGGAGGGCAGCAGGGTAAGTCCCAACCAGAAATGCTGGCTGTTATTTTTTTGATTTTGGGTTTCGGTAGGCCAGTTTAATGCCAGGGTTTGATTGGTCTCGCCTGAAGATGGTGCCCATGCTTTCGAAAGAGGACGTCCTTTGCCAGGGCCAACCTGACTTCGAGACAAGAGCACCAGCAGGCAGGGCCTCGCAAGCTGAATTCTAGAGCTCAAAGCCAGTCGAGGGAGTGTTCCATGGGAATTGAAAGGTTGGCATCGGCCAAGGTCCCAACCAATTCATCCTTTCGGCGTCGAAATGAAGGGCTGAGGAACCCGCATGCTTGCATGCTTTCAGAGGAACAAAGTGGGGTGCATCCTATTGGGCTATGCCTTCCAATGAGGAACGCCCTCAGGAATTGTTGGTTGTGCATGATCCGCCAAGTATTTCCAATACCCAAGGGTGCAACGAAAGCCATGGTTGTGGAAATAGAGTTTTCAGGACCATCCAACATGCTTTTTTAGCATGCCCCCGCAATGAAAATAATCTTTCTCGGAGCGTTGCAGGCTTCTCGCATCGTCAGAATTCACCGTGAGAAAAAAGAGGTGATGGCTTCCTGGGTTCCTATGGTTCTAGGGGTACCTTTCCCATTCTTTCCAGGCATCTTTCTTTCTACAAACCACCCAAGACCTTGGGGGAAGCAGCGATCGGTTTTTGAATAGACCGATTACGAACTTTTGTTTTCTTTCCGATTTGCACACCCGATTTTCCCCGACAGCGGGCTTTCCGGGAGCCCTGGGCGCGGGGCCTTGAGGCGTCTCAGGAGCAGCAGGGGAAGAAGCTCTCAGCGCTGGGGGAAGCACAGCGGGGCTGCCCCAGCGCCTGGGGCAGGGGGTTCACCCAATGGCCTGAAGGGGGTTCACCCAAAAAGCAGTGAATGTTGGTTCTGACACCTGCGATGTTGAATAATTTTCACCTGAGAACTCCAGGTCGGTTTTCGTTTTCGGGCGTATCCCAAGGCAGAGGCTGAGGTTGTTTCCCTTGATCCCGTCACATGGGGTGGAGGGATTGGCAAGGCGCTGGGGCCAGCTCCCACAGATCCGGAAAGGTAGGCCGCGAACTGGACCCTTTAGAGGTCCAAAATCCCTGAACTCCGCAGTGACAGTGTGGTACTGGCGGTGGCTGGTTCCTTTTCTGAGGGTTGATTTGGGAGAGCTGTGACAACTCGCTGCATGCTCCATATGGGCTTGCCAAGCAAAAGCTGGTCCTTGCCAGACTCTGAAAGACTTGCGTGCCTCATCCGGTTTGGCTTGGAGCAAGCCGCAGCTAAGGAGCAGTGCCTAAAGTTGACTGTTTCGCCACAAGCAGGCACAACAAAGGAGCGGTAGCTAGCATATGGGTCAGCGGCTTGGCAGGACGGTGCCTGTGGTTCAGGGCGGCCTTTTCCTCACCTCTTTTGGTAGCATTGGAGAACCACACCTTTGTGGTGAACAGTCGTGCGCACCAGGCGCAAGACTGTTGACGAAGTGCAGCAGACCCAGACCAACATAGAGGAGCTCAGGCGCAAGGCAGCTGCGAAGCCGTGTTTTCCCAGGACTTTGGTTTCTGCAAATCTTCACGCACGTTGTTTCCACGCTTTTGCAATTGGGTCCAAGTCTTCCGGGGGTACCCTCAAGTTATCCCTAGATCTACATACACACACACATATATATAT